TTTTTTCTTCTGGTGAAAGTCTTTTTTATTTTATTTTGTCGAGAATAAATGCAGTTTTTAATTTTTTAATAAACATTTTAAGGTTAAAATTATTAGCCACTTTAAGTTAGATTTTTTTCCAATAAAAACTTGCCTAATTACCTTAACCTGCCTAGTTAACCTAATTAACCTAGTTAAGCTTTTAAATGTCATTTTAAGCTGTATAGAAATGTCCTGAAAATATATATAGTCAAATATTATTTACTCTCATCATAGCAAAGATATTATATTATATTATATTATATTATATTATATTATATTATATTATTCATTCATTCATTTTCTTTTCGGCTTAGTCCCTTTAATAATCCGGGGTCGCCACAGCGGAATGAACCGCCAACTTATCCAGCAAGTTTTTTACGCAGTGGATGCCCTTCGAGCCGCAACCCATCTCTGGTAAACATCCGCACACACATACACTTATACACTACGGACAATTTAGCCTACCCAATTCACCTGTACCGCATGTCTTTGGACTGTGGGGGAAACCGGAGCACCCGGAGGAAACCCACACAAAGGCAGGGAGAATATGCAAACTCCACACAGAAACGCTAACTGAGCCATTATAATAGCCAATATAATATAATATAATATAATATAATATAATATAATATAATATAATATAATATTATATTATATTATATTATATTAGTGTGTAGTGTGTGGTTTTTGACAAGCATTTTAAGTCACCCTGTTCAGCTGTGTATAAATCATGGGTGTTTTGCTGAAGCTGATAGGTCCCCCTGGGTGGTTTCTTACAGCCCCAAGTCAAAGTCCTTACACTTAGCACATTTTCACACGTTTTATTGTCCACCAGGTGGAAAAGATTTGTTCAGTAGCTTCATTAAAGTAATGGCACCTAATGGACATAAAGTGAAAGCACATGCCCTCTCAAGGACAACATATCTCAAAGGAACAAGACTTCCCTGCAGTCAGTCTGAATGAGCCAGCCGCCATCCACGTGTTAATGTTAGCCGTAATTATCTATAAATCATTAAACTACACAGAAAACAGAGATAAAGAAAAAACACTGACCAGACACTTCTGATCACAACATAACAGCTCTAACTGCATCACATTTTTGCTTTAGCCGATTAGTGTATTCAGAATTCATAATCTGTATTATTGTATGGCAATTGGTGTTTTACAAAATAGTATTTTTTTTACAAAGTCACAATCGATCTGACCTTTAGCTTTTTTTAATGTTATCATGTTTACCATGTTTTTACTCCACTTATCCATTTTGATTTGCTTATAAGTTTATACATTCTTTGAAATTAAGACTGCACATGATCCACACAAAAAAATTGTTTTCTTTTCATTACTAATGATGAATTGTATCTGAATTTTTAATTAAATAAAATGTATAAGACCATATAATCTGAAAATTACCAAAAGAAAATCCCCTGAAGTCCTTTGATATTTTGTTTAAAAAATCCTAATCTTTTTACCGATCCGTGTTTCATGCTGAAATGATTTGTCAGGTGTACATAAATGTTGGCGCTATTATAATTTCATGAATAAACACTAAACAAATAGCTCTGTCACTTAACTGCGCTTGATGCTTAATTTAAAAAATAATAAAAATATATCAGTGCTTCCCACACATTTACTTGGGTGGGCCGCCCAGGTATATTAACAGCTGCTAAATGATCCAGGATTCGGCTTTTGCTTTCTAAAGCTGTCATACATATATATATATATATATATATATATATATATTAGTGCTGTCAATCGATTAAAAAATTACTTATTAATCACACTTTTTTGGAAATTAATCGCGATTAATCACGTTTAAAAGACTGAAACTTGCAATTTTGGCTGTTCGAATGTAAAATTTATGTAAACGGAAGACAAAAACTATTTAAATTCAAAATATAATTGTTTATTAGAATTTTTGTTTCACTTGTAAAACAGATATCTTCATGTAAACAACATACGCACAATAAACCATCAAGATCCTGGCTTGACAGCCATATTTATTGCAGAAATTAAAACACAGGCATGTTAATGCCCTTTGAATTTCAAAACAATCAATGCCAATAAAGAAAAAATTTACTTCCATGTTAGATTTTAAGTAGACTGCAAAAAAACAGGCAATGCAAATATTGAAAATTTAAAATAATAATTCCAATAAAGAATTGAATACAAACAATTGTACTCATTGTAAAGTTGCATTGCTGTGAGTTGACAACATTAATTATAAAGTAGAAACAATTTTGCTTAGTCCTCCTTTACAATCAGCCAGTTGCTAAGACAGTCCAGTCTGTTGACATTATCGGGGCACAATGTGGACCCTTTATTTTGAATGATGTGAGCTGAGGTTGAAACGCAATATTAGGCAATTCGTAACTTTTTGATGTAGTGGCTATGAACAACAACGTTTCGCAGGTTTGTTGCTAAAGCCTGATTTATACTTCTGCGTCAAGTGACCGGCGTAACCCACCGCGCATGCAACGCGCGTGGCTGTGCATTTATACTTTTGCGCGCTGTCTCTGTTGGTCTGCATTAACACTTCCGAAACGCTAGTTGGCAGTGAGGTGTGAAGTTCCTCTGTGTCGAGTTTCTTCGCTGCTTTTTTGCTTTTCCTGAACACTTCCGGGATGTACAAGTGGCTCAAACTCGCTCATTTTGAGGCAGGAACCGGCGGACGTGCAACAACTTTAACTATGAGGTAAACACAAAACAAAACTTTCCATCCGGAGCTCCTTCACGGGACTCCACAATGGTAAACAATCGCTCCATCAGGCTCGCATAATTCACGCGGCTCTCGGTCCCGCCCAGACTCGTCAGCGCTAACAAGCCGACTAATCAGAGCTTGCGCTACGTGTCGTTGCGACGTGTAGTTACATTTTTTGAGAGGTGCACGTCAGCGACGCCGATGCCGATGCCGGTGCCGGCGAAGGGCTATGCGTCAGCGCCGTAGCATACGCCGGCGTTTGAGGCAGAAGTATAAATCAGCCTTAAGAAGCGCATGCGTGCGGGCACACACACACACACACACACACACACACACACACACACACACACACACACACACACAGGACGGGGCAGTTGGAGCGACTCCCTTCAGATTCAACACGCATGATCACGTTCATCAAATTTGCTTAAACTAATCGTTCTAAAGTATTTAGAGCTGGCTGTATTTCACAAAAATTCTGACACAACAACGCAAAGCAAACACTTGCGTTTAAAGGGGAAACACGTCAAACTTAATGATACGTTTGAGGGTGCATGCTGAAAGGCAGAAGAATGCACTGTCTTTGACAGCTTGCAACATCATCTGGCATTTTCTGAGTACACCAATACTCCGATTTTAATATGATTAATACTCTTATTAAGAGTCTACCATGTAAGCAGCAATTTTTAATTACCTAAAAGGATCACAGAGTCACGAAATGCTGAGGTTTTTCTTTCCATTCGCCATGCGGTATTAAATTTCATTAAATCAAAAGTTAAAAATGAAACACCCCAAATTGCAATAAACTCTGGAGGAAACGCTGGATAGCCTGGTAATGCGACATTAATTGTTTTATACTAAAACTTGCCTTCAAAAAGTGCTTCCTTGGTCTTATCCACATTTCTTTGCATGCTGAACACACGTCGCCCACAACAGGAAATAAAAAAACTGCAACTGCATAAATTTTTTTTAAACGCTTTAAATAGTTCAAATTAATCACTTGCCTTAACGCACCAATTTTAACAGCACTAATATATATATATGGTTAAAAAAAAGTGTATTACAAGCGCCTTAAAACCAAATCAGGCTCATCTGAAATACATTTTTAAGCTTTGTGAAATCCAAAAAGTATTTCCTAAACATATGTTTGATCTTGAGTTTCAAGATAAAATGAATGGTACAAGTAAACGTAAAAAACATGTAAAATAAGGACATGTACCTGAAACGTACAACAAAACACCCTAAGTATCCAACTTTACATTTCACAAAATAAATGTTAAAAGTTAAAGCATGTATTTCCAATGAGCATGGGCTGATTAAAACACTAGCAGTTTTCAGAATATTCCTCAATGCATATCTCAAACATCAAAACAGACCAAAGTGTGTTATGAGGGTTTTAATCTGAACTCAGTGGGGTCTTCATCTTTACAGCCTCATCAGTGCTAGAAATCATGTGAGCTGGTTAAAAATGTCTTTAGTTTCTCTTGGCCTCCTGACTTGCAGCATGATCTCTAATGACGCTTCCCTGAAGACTCAGCATGGCACCAATTTAAAATCATTAAGCTACATAAGAGATCCAGCCAGGCTTTATAGGGCTAGGATTAAACCACGGAAGAATGCTAACCTTCCACTCCAAATCCTACCAACATGACTTAATTACATTACCCAGGGTTAAATCCATAGGGCAATGACAGACAAACAAACCATTTACATTCCACCATAGGCACTCACAGGTCAAAGAGAATTATGTTGGTACTAGTGTTACTTAAGGGGTCTATAAAACAAAGCCAATGCAGAAACGAACAAAAATCTGACCGAATTGGACAAACTGAAAAATGACTTGGGTGTGAATCCGGAAAAAAGTTTTGAAAATCGCTAATGATAAACGCAAACGAAAAGCGTCCCGGTGTATACAAGCCTTAACTCAGATTAATTTTCCACTGAAGTTGAAATTTTTAAAAACTTAAGCAGAAGATGTGGTTAACGTCAATTCTGCACATCACAGCCGGGCAAACACGTTGCACATTCTACATCATTTGTGTCACCTGCTGGAAATGAACTAAATGAACTTTGCTCATTTGCATAGACTTGTATGTAATTTACTTGTGCGAATACTTACATTTTCGTTGTCAAAAAAAAAACAGTAGGTGTGACTATAAATATATTTAATTGTCTATATAAAAAATTATCTATTCCTTATTAAAGTTTTAAACTATTCTTTTATGTGAATTTATGCTACATTTTTTAGTAGAAATATCACTTGTTTGACAGCATAGTATACCTGTCTTCTCTCTCGGCGCGACAGAATGTGTCCATTCAACACCCTCCACAGCATCCGCACAGCGATGGTCGTGTCGATCCACAACAGACGGAAGCCGTGATAGTAATGTTTCACCTCATCGATAACACGCTGCCGTATTGTCCGTCGCACAGGTTCAGCGTCCACCGTCGGGCTGTACACTGGTCCGCCCTCCTCCAGCTTTTTATTTCGATCCTTCAGGGTACGTAAAGAGCGCTCCACCTTTGAATCATCGAGCAGGCGGCCTGTGGTATGAACCCACCGGACTGGGGCGTTCTGTGGCCAAGCTAATGTTCTGTGGTATGTGGAGCGGGAGTGGACTGGCAGGGCAGGGTCAGGTACTAAGATGGCACAATAAAGACGAGGAGATCTAGACAAGCGTAGCTGAAGCACAGAGGAGTTGTCCAGGTATTGGACAGATGATGCATGAGGCCAGACGATTCCTCCAAGAACACCAGGACTGAGGAAAATAGAGCATTCAGTAAAGTTAAACAAGCTTTGATTAAAGATAAAAGAAGTTTCAAAATTATATATTATTTGGTTAACATCACAAAAAAGAGGGTTTTCTTTAATTTCATCACAATTGCAAATGTCATGCTGATTGTAAAAAAGTTTTAAAGTTTTACAAAATTTATCAAGCTTTTCAAGTTCCAAACACAGAGTAAAAATGTTGTTAAAATAGCTTTGTAACATTTTGTAATGAAACCTTGGCAGAACCGTTTTTTGTCTGCATGAAACACTTTAATGAATCAAGATTCAATTCCTAAAATTCCTTTTTAACAAAACTCAATTTTTATCACAGCTTCAGCTTCATATTTGAAAAACCAATTCATTTAAAAAAAATAAAAAATTCTGAATTGGTGTAAAAAAAATAGGGCTCCACAATATATCGTTAGATAGATCTAGCCAAGTTAATCATGTAAAATTATATTCATACATCAATATATACTGCCAAAGAACAATTTCTGACAATCTCAGATTTTTCAAATATTGTGTGGCCGTAATAAAAAAAAAGCTAAATGAAATGACATTTCAGATGCTGTTGCTTTGCCCCTTGTTTAATTGTTTTGTTCAGGTTTCATCAAGTAAAATATAAGACTTTTTAAGACCATTATGAATGAGATTTTAGACTTATACGGGACTAAAACAAGATTTTTGGTAATGGCCCAGTTGGATCAATGGAATTGGAAAAAAAACAAAAGTAGTTATTTCTTAATCACGTATTTGAATGTGTCAAAACAAGACAACTGTAGTTCTATATACACTTTTTTATTTCAACATAATGTTTATTTTTTAATGAAATTAATTAAAAGTATATTTATTATGAAGAAAACTACACAAATAATAATAATAATAATATATACATATATATATATATATATATATATATATATATATATATATATATGTGTGTGTGTGTTCGCTTTTGGTCCAAATGAACTGTAATGAAGTATAACTTCCTTTCAACCTAATACATATCTGATATAAAACGTTAAATTTCATGCCAATTTATAAATAGTATGTCCACTAACACATTCAACAGTTAATAGTTTTTGTGTAAAGGGAAGATTATGTAAAGGGATATATTGCTGTTATTATCAAGAGTAATCGTGTAAATGTTTTTAGTTTTCTTTTCCTGATTAGGGATTAAAATAATTTTTTTTCGCTGTGAAATGCCTAAAAGCTGTTGTGAAATAAACATCTCTTTTTGATAAAAAACTTAAATATATATATATATATATTTTGTTAGATTGTTGTTGATTGGATGGGTTTGGCCCGATTGGGTAACATTACTTCAACAACTTTTAAAATTAAGACCTGTTTAAAATGATTTAAGACCTACATCACAATATTTCTGTGAATTTAAGACTTTTTAAGGCCTAACATTTTGCTTGTGAAATTAAACACATTTTAAGACCCCGCGGACACCTTGAATACCAATTTTATTTGACTGACAACATTTAGACTTATTTCTTATTCTAATTAAATGCTGTTGCATTCCATGTAACTTCGAGTTAAATGAAAGATGCACAACGGCATTTTATTTACTTTTTTTTGTCAAGAACATGCCAAAAATTAGCAAAAAAATCTAAATGAAGTGATGTCTACAAGACAACATCTGTTCCTTTCATAGTGCAAGACTGCATGTAGTGATATGAAAACCTATGCTTAATTTCACACTGTAAAACTATGTCTAATAAGCGTATTTACATGTTCCATATTGTCAATTTAAAGTGGTAAATATTACATCGGAATGAAAAGTTGCTGCTGTGTGAACTGACCACCACACAAAAAATTACCAGTCACCTGGTTATATGACAGGCCTAAATATATCAACAAGCAAAATTAACACTATTAATAAAATAATACCTTAATTTTTTCTTTATAATGATATTCCCCTAAAATATGTGTGAGCTAATTTTAATTTAGTAATCAAAAACCATGGTAATCATAGAAAATGTGATCAGACTACAGTTTGAATTGCATGAATTGTGTTCGGCTCGATTTACCTGTTTGTGGCTAACCGCAGTGCCGTGCAGTTAAAGCATGCGCCTTCTGACAACTTTCCTGAAAGAAGGAAAAAAAAAACATTAGATCATCATATAGAACCACTATGAAAAAAACTGTTATATAATCCGTGACCTGTTAAATTACACTACATAGTTTCAAAAACGCAATGCACAAGCATCTGCACGATGCATTAAACCACTGTCCTGGCCTTTGCCTGCTCTTGTAATGTGTCTGAATGTTTATTCATGGTAAGATGATAGGATATAACATAAGGGGGGTCATGAAGAGTGCAACAGGCTATATGCCAGCATGGGATCAAAGAAAAGGACAGAGAAAATACTTGATCCCCTGCCAGAGAAAATATAGCATCACTGCCAAGAGAAAGGATACACAAATGAAGGTGTTTAGGGAGCTAAATATTACAAATATTACAAATTATTAGAGTATAATGTTTCATATTATTTGTTATCGATAATTATTGATTTTTTTATTTAAGAATACATTTAGGATTTTTTTAAATTATTATTTAACTACTTTATTTTAATTTACCAACATTACGAAAGGCAAAGAGTTTTCATAGTCAAAAAAAATAAATAAACAAAAATATCTCGTCTCTTATATCTTATAATAAAATCAACCTAAGCATAAAAGAGACTCTTAAACTTGATAAATAAAATGTTTCAAAGTGTGTGCAATTGTAAAGTGTAAACGCTGAACAATCAAAGCAAACTTTAGGGTAGATCAACATCTGTAAGATGCCAATAATAATGATACAGTTAACTTCAAACTCTGTAAGCAAAACAAATTATGATAATCGAATCTGAGCATTCAAGTAAAGGAACCAACCATCATTATTGAAATACTTATTGCAGCATTAGATATTGTGAAGTTAAATTAATATATTACCCCTATGCTAAAAAAAATCTTTCAGCTTGTGGCTGGGATGCACAAGGAAATAAACCACAAAGGCACTTTGACGACATCTTTATATCCTTTTTTATTTACTATCTCCTTACTGCTGCTAGTCACGGCACTTATTTTCGCGTTTGTTATTCTGAAAAAAAAATTAAATAACGAACTGGTTAATTAAATAGCCTAAAGCATTTAAATGTGATTTGAAATGTATTTCTTAAATAATAACAAAGCATGAATAGTACATAATTAAAAAAGTAGTTTTTTTTTCTCTTAATATCTGTTGTATTATCATATTAACAGTTTTACATAAATAATAAATAATCCAAGAACATATATAACATATATTTAAATTTCCAAGTATTCAATGCGAATTTAACACTTTAAAATAGCTTCCGGTTTACAAAATTAAATAACTGTCGAAAAAATGACTTTTTCTGAAAAAAATAAGCTTCACAGATTCTCAGAAATGTAATACATTTCATACTTTTTTTTAGCATAGTCTTCATTGATTTAAGTAGCTTTTAACATATAAGAAATCAAAACCAAACATATATAATAATAATAAAAATAATAATAATAAAATAAAAAATAAAAATACAAAAAATAAAAATATACAAACATAAAAGCAAATGCATATACTTACACATACAATATAAAAGTACAACATATAACAACAACGGTATATTAATAACATGTAATACAAGTTGTACAGAAAAATTATTTGTATCGGCTTCCTTCAAGAAACCTACAAAGGAATCCCAAATTTGAAAAACGCAAGACTTATATAGTTAAAAAATAGTATACACTTCATAAAAAAACATATATGAAAGTGAAATGTAAAAAAAATTGTAATTAAATAATTAGTAATAGCTATAAGCAAATCTGTGAAATGAGAAAAAAAACATTTCATACATACGATAACACCACCAAAAACACAAAGACTTAACTTAAGCAATCATCTCCAGATGTTATGTCATAAGGTACGCAGCACAAAAAAGGTAGGTCTTGCCATCAAGTTGAAACAGCACTGACTATTCCATCTAATGCTTAAATATGACTCACTTAACATTCTTTCATCCAGCTATTCAAAACATTCTCATGTCAACTTTACTTTGGCCCTTAATCCTCTTCATTTGTGTGTGAATCTGTCATTACACCAGCTCCACACAGTTTACATCAGGACAGACCTCACACAAAAAGCCTACAGTGAAGTGAGTTTGCACAGCTCACATCTACATTAAAATCCCAGCTGGACTTTCCCCTTTAAAGCATATGATTAATTACACATACTGCTTAGGTTAGACTACAGCAATTCCCGGAACTTTACAGTTTACTAAAGACTGCATATACTGCAACAGTCTGTCAGCATTTCATCAGCATTTACCTTCACGAGGATGACAGACATATCGAAACGAGTGTATCCGCAAGTGTATTGAGTGTATAAGTCACATCGCAAGATATGCAATGTTGAGTCTGGATTATATTTGACCAGGAAATACAACATTTTATTTAATTAACACATTTATATGAAACGTATATGATTTATGTAGAAAAAAAGCTTTTCTTATTTAAAATTTTTGTCTTGTTTCTTGTCCAAATGTCTACATTTCAAAGCAAAAACAAGATTTTTCAGATATTTGGACTAAAAGGAGGTCGAGCCTTCTCTTTCATGGCTCCTACACTCTGGAATAGCCTTCCTGATAATGTCCGAGGCTCAGACACTCTCTCCCAGTTCAAAACTAGATTAAAGACCTATCTGTTTAGTAAAGCATACACTCAATGCATCACCTAGCGGGTTCCACACAGGCTTCTGCATCTTGCTTATATACACTATGAACAGCAGCTACGCTAATTATTCTCTTTATTCTCTATTTTCACCTGGGGATACTCATCCCGAGGTCCTCAGATTATGCGGAGTCACTGATTGGATCCAAGACCAGCGACGAGATGATCCCAAGGTTTCCATATCCGGGACCAGGCCATATCCTGAGCTGCTGCTGCGCTGATGGTCATGGGAAGTGGAGAACATGAGACTGATTCCAGCGACGCTCCAGGGACAGACGAGTCTTCGCTGAGGCCATCTTCCAGCCTCCACCGCGGTGACTGAAGCTCTGCACAAGACTTTTGGCCAGCAGAGAAATTAAAATGGTCGTGCACAACTGAGTCTGGTTCTCTCAAGGTTTTTTTTTCTTCACTCCCATCAGGTAAAGTTTTTTTTCCCTCTCCGCTGTCGCCACTGGCTCGCATGGTTCAGGATTGGTAGAGCTACGCATCGATGAATATGCTCTTTAGTGTTTGTACTCTCAGTAATGATTAAATCACACTGAACTAAGCTAAACTGAACTGAACTTAAACACTAAAAACTGAACTACACTGTTCCAGTTACTATGACCATTTATGTGAAGCTGCTTTGACACAATCTACATTGTAAAAGCGCTATACAAATAAAGCTGAACTGAATTGAATTGAATAAAAATGAGACAACCCGAAGTAAGAAAAGCATTTTTGCATTGTGATTATTTATTTAGAGACTCCCCAGAAAACTATCAAATAGTGCTATTCAAACCATCCTGTTAAACTGTATTCATATCACAAATTTTATCACAGAATAATAAAATATCACAATATCAGATTTTCCCAATTTCATGCAACCCTACTGGTAAACCAACCATCAGAATTAAAGAGCAGAAAATAGCCAGTTAAAGTGAATGCTTGAACCAATGCCATATACGCTGCTGTTGACAATGCATTTTCCATGCTTATTTTTGGTTAACAGTAGTATTAGGCAAAGATCAATGACACCAAAATAGTTTGTTTTGACATAAGACATGTGTACAGTATTCTATATATTTATTATGTACAGTGCATCCGGAAAGTATACATAGTGCTTTACATTTTCATGTTACAGCTTTATTCCAAAATGAATTAAATTCATTTATTTCCTCAAAATTTTACACACAATACCCCTTTATGATAACGTAAAAAAATATTTTTTTTAATTGTTGCAAATGAATAATAAAAAAAAAAAACCTGAGAAATCACATGTACATAGGTATTGACAGCCTTTGCTTGAGCCAGGACTGTCTTAAGGCACAAGGCTAAAGAAGGTTACAGAAAAATTTCTGCTGCTCTGAAAATTCCAATGAGTGGTCTCCATCAACCGTAAGCGGAAGATGTTTGGAACCACCAGGACTCTTCCTAGAGCTGGCCGGCCATCTAAGCTGATCGATCGGGGGAGAAGGGCCTTAATCAGGGAGGTGATCAATAGCCCAATGGTCACTCTGTCTGAGCTCCAGCGTTCTTATGTAGAAAGAGAGGAGAAATTTACAGAGAGACAACCATCTGTGCAGCAATCCACCAATCAGGCCTGTATGGTAGAGTGGCCAGACAGAAGCCACTCCTTAGAATTGAAATTTGCCAAAAGGCATCTGAAGGACTCTCAGACCATAACAAAATTCTCTGGTCTGATGAGACTAAAATTGAACTCTTTGGAGTGAATGCCAGGCGTTACTTTAGAGAAATCCAGGCACCGCTCATCATCAAGCTAATACCATCCCTACAGTGAAGCGTGGTGGTGGCAGCATCATGCTGTGGGGATGTTTTTCAGCAGTAGGAACTGGAAGACTAGTCAGGATAGAGGGAGAGATGAATGCAGTAATGTACAGAGACAGCCTGAATGAAAACTTGCTTCAGAGTGCTCTTGACCTCAGACTGGGGTGACGCTTCATCCTCCAGCAGAACAACAACCCCACACGTCGCCAGAATATCAATGAAGTGGCTTCACAACAACTCGTTGAATGTCCTTGAGTGGCCCAGCCAGAACCCAGATCTAAATGCTATGGAACATCTCTGGAGAGATCTGAAAATGGCGGTACACCATCACTTCCCATCCAACCTGATAAAAGCTTGAGAGGTACTGCAAAGAGGAATGGGTAAAAAATTCCCAAAGACAGGGGTGCCAAGCTTACACACCACGAACAGGCTCTTCCATACCCTCACTGCACACCATCAATATGTAGCATGCACTGCGCTTTAACCAATCCATACTTGAAACAATACTGCTATCTGGACACCTGTTCATTGTACATATCGCTATCAATTTTACATTGTTCTGTTTTTTTGGGAGTATATTGTTGTATTTG